AGGACAAGTGCAGGGGTAAAGGACAGAAGAAAAACAGTCTTCCAGATCTCCAAGACTGGGGTTAAACGTAATGCTTACAACTACCCCCTCCAAAAATATTCTTGTCACAGAAACAAAGGAAAAATCTTGCCAATCTCAATCTCTGTGAGGAAATAACCTTTGTAATTTCTGTAACAAAGACTGCTTAAAAGCAAGCTTTTACTTCAAAGAGTACTAAATTAAAATTATATATCAGTAAAAAGGAATAATTTGAAGAAAGTACAAGTATTTTAAGGGCCCTTTTTCTTCTGTTTTACAAAATTACTGGCACATTGAGTTTTCCTGACAACAATACTCATATAGTTAACTATTCTCACAGCAGTCTTAAGAACTGGTTGAATCATCTTGCAACTATATCTACTGCCATCCAGAGGTAATTGGCAAAAGTTTGGAGAGTAAATCTGTCACTAGAAGAGAGAACATGAATATTATGTATTAACGCAAGAAAAATCCCACAGCATAAAACCGTAAAATTGTGATCCAGTGAAAGAGAAGCAAAAAAAATAATATTAAGCTGAATAATCCATTTCTTTTCTTTTACTTTGAGACAGAAAAAAAAGGAAACAGGTTTTTTTTACTGTCTTAATCTTGTAGCTCATCTGGAGCCCAGCAAGGAGTTGAATACCTCTTCAGAGATGCAAAGCATCCTTAATTCCTTTTGAAACTATGGCAGCTGCTCAGTAACTTGAAGATCATGTCCATGCTGGACCAGCCTTTCAAATGAAGTGCCTAAAACAGGATGACTGATTTTTCATTGGTATGCGCATTTCAACACATAGATTCCCACATAGGTTAAGAATTTCCACATTGGTGCCTAAAGCCAAAAAATGAACTTTTGGATTAAATTAGGCTGGGACTTATAAAGGGACATAAGGGGTGTACAATTCCAAATAACTTTCTGTATAGTTGGGTACCTGGGAATCTCTGCAATATATTAGCATAACGAGGTGTGTTTTAAAACTAGTATGAAACTTTTCATTTCTACGGCACTCACCTTTATGTATCTATTTTAGGGGTTTGTATTAAGGCTGGAGATCATAGTAGCGAGCTGAAAAAAAAGATGTATACAGTCAAATCTCTATACTTTCTAAGTACTATCTGAATGTCCCAGAACAATAAGCAAACAGTAATGAAACACAACAAGAACCTGTGAAGTAATTATTATTATCCACATTACAGAGATGGAGAAGCTAAAGCACAGAGAAATTAAAACCAAATATCTGGTCCAAAGTTAAGATCCAAGTTTTAGTTCATTAATTCTAAGTACCACCAGCTCATCCTTAGACACCGGTCCTTATTGTACAAGATCTGAGCACTCTCAAATCTGGCTACAGTCAGTGGGAACTCTGGGTGCTTCATACCTATAAAAAGTAAACTCTAGGTTTAAAAAACTGGGCACCCAAAAGATGAGGCAACTAAAATTAGGAGGCACATTTGAAATTCTGACGCCATATAATCTGCCTAAAAGTCCATATGTTGGTCAGAAAAATTGGAACTAAGGTTAGAACCCATATTTCTATCCTTCAACCCCAAGGTTATCCTTTCCTTTTCTTTCCAGTAGGTTAAACATGCCCCTTGGAAGTGCATGGGTTCCTATTCACTTTAAAGGGAATCACACATGGGCTTTTCTTTGTTTTCTGTTGTGACCAAAATGATTTCTGCTTTCAAATTCTGTTTGGTTTATAAATCTAGTCAATTATCCTTCCAGCTGCCATCACTGCACACACATCCTGATATCACAAAGTCACACTTTGTCCTGTCTGAATCATACATCATCACTAACAATCAGCAGCAATAAAGATTCTAGAGTTAATAACTGCAATTTTGCTGATGATACTTGAAGCAGAGTAGAATAAAGCTTGTTCTCTTCAGTTACGTTACATGGGTTCTTCAACGCTAAATGTACTAAAGTTTGGTTCTGACAGCAAACTAAGCAGATATAGCTAGCTCCCACACAAATGGAGCAGGTGTGCAAGAATCACTGAGCAGTACATCCCAGGGTGAAATTCTGACTCCATGGAAGTCTACAGCAAAACTTACATTGTCTTCAGTCAGCTCAGGATTTTACCCAATGCCTTTAAAACATTGACTTCTGCAATATTGCAGCAGCTCTTTCAGAGCCATTCTGTAAATGCATCTTCAGATAATTTAAAAAAATGTATATCACCAGCAAACCATGGGTTATTTATTCAACAGACTTTTACAACATACTCTCAAAGCTATTTGTGCTACCACTTCAAAGTTCTGTATAATTTTCAGGGTGTGATTTCCGTAAGCAGGAAAAACCCTTGTTAAAATGTCTACAAGTTGCCACAAGTAGTCCTGGTGTTTTACTGTATAATCATGTATAATCTTGCTTATAAACACACAGGACCAGTTCCTTGGCTTTAGCTACAAAGCACACAATATAAATCACAGGGCAGATTAAAACAATTATACCAGATAAATGGCTAACCAAAGAGTTGCCAAAACTGGAGTTACTGCCTTCAGGATCTCCTTTTATTTCTTTTTTTTCAAATTGATGTATGCTAGCATGTAAAATCACAAGTGGTATTCATTAGCACACTCTCAGAGCTCTGCTGTTGGGCTGTCTAGGGATACAAAGCATCCATATGCTTTGCTAAGCCGAGTATATGGCTCCTTGTGCTGTTGGTGTAACCTAAAATAGAAAGAGTATGCAACTGAAATGGGAACAATATTTACTACATTACCAGATCAATATAACAGAATATACCCAGGCTGAACCATAGACAGATAACGCATTGGGCTAGACTAAAAAAAATACAGAACAAAAAGGCAATCCTAGTCCTCCAAAAAATTACAGGCTAAGACAAGAGATGGACTAGATGGCCTCCCGAGGTCCCTTCCAACCCCTAACTCTCTATCAATACAGAGTTTAGGAAAATAATGAAAAAATATTCGTGAGAATGAGATAGCAATGGAATTTACTTATGCAGCACAAAAGTCTAAAAAGTTCTCATTTGTCTCTAAAATAATGGTCTCAAGTCCCGTCTTGTAAAAGTTTAGCAGAACTGTCTTTAAAGTCACTGGTCTCTGTAATTCTAGATGATCACATCAATTGTCCAAGAGAGTGAACTAAATAATTTCTAATATGCTGCCATCTTGTGGTAACTGAGAAAATTATCTAGCCAGGTTGATCTGTTTTTAAATGCTTTGGAAATTTCTTATGCTGTTATGAGTCACAGTCAGATGGTATATGTTGTTTGTTTGGTTTTAAAAGAACACCCCATCATAACTACAACTGTTATAATGATGGAGGTATTATGCCAAATAGTTTTACGCAGGAGATGTGAGACACTACATCTTAGAACTTGAGAGCCACTGTTTGATTTATAAGCGGGAAAAGAAATTGCCTAAGAACAACATAAGCATTATAGATGTGGCATTAGACATAGAATCTTTTCCTCTGTGAAATGAGAATGATTTCCTCCCTTTCTCAAAACATCATGAAAGGCCAGTACATTTAATCATACTAGCAGCCTGGTGCCCACATAGTCATCCCCATCACACATACCAGGTCTAAGCTGCCAAGCTCTGTGGTGATGAGTTCTACAACTTAGATTACATGCTGTGTTACAGAAATATTTCCTTCTTATCAGTTTTAACCGTGTTGCTTTTGAATGGCATTAGACATCTCTTGATATCATGGGGGAGGGAGGTAACTACAAGAACAGTCTGTGTATTTTCCCAGTGGAATTCACTGACATGTCTCCTAACATGTATCACCTCTTTTAATTGAAGTCTTAATCTTCACAGGGTGGGGGGAGGAAGAAGGGAGGGAGGAGAAGGGAAAAGTGAAAGGGGAAGGGGGTTGTTTTGGACTTTTTCATGGACCACAGAAGTCCCTCAGTTTGCGGATGATCTCTACCACGGCTTGTTGATGGGTCTTGAGATGACTTAAGAGTCTGATCCTACAGCCACAAACCCATCCACAGAAATTGCAGATCTTTCTTCAGGGTTTGGAAAGCCCTAGGCCAGGATGTCTCTCCTTTTCCTGCCCCGCCTTTACACATCTGGCATAATTTTTCCTGCCCAGCTCCTATTTCTGCTGTAGCTTCCCTGGGACTAAAGGATTACAAAGGTAGCATAGTAACCTCCCCCCACCACCACCACCTTGCATTGCAGTGGCAGCGGAAATGGCAGTGCACAGGCTTCGCTGCCCCGTCCCCTGCTCACTGGTGCAGGAGCAGGACCCCGAGATGGGCCAGAGGAACAAGCCTGAGCTGTCCCAGCCTCAACAGCCTCACCTGCTTGGTGAGAAAAACAATCTGAACTAAAGGGCTGTGGGCAGGGAGCCCTCAGCCAACAGGGCCACAACAGCAGCTGCCTCAGTGTTGCCAGGTGTTAAATATGAAATTATCATATTGAGAGCTCAAAATGATTGTATTTGCTGAAAAACTATCGTACACTGAAAAATAATGAAATAAATATGCAAATAACTCTTCTTCTTTACTTTCTATTGCTCACTGTTAAACTGCAGTGAGTGAGAGAGACCTGGATCATCAAAGTTGAAACTTTTCTTTATTTCAAGGGAAGCAGTCAGAAGAGAGTGTTGACAGCAACCCCGACTCAGCTAAGACTTCCTGAGCATGACTTGGTGCTGCATCAATTAGTTGCGTCAATAAGCGTCCTACATTTTGAACACTTTTACTATTACTGATTGTACATTGCACAAGGGCTGAAATGATTGTACAAAAACGATCATTAGCGTACGCCTGGTAACACTGGGGTGTTTCTGCTACGCAGGGCCTAGCGCCCAACGCTGGGGAGAAGAGGAGGACGCTGCTCCAAGGGTGCCGTAGTACCGCGGGAAGAGGGGAAGAACTACGAACCCCAGCATGCAACGCGCCACCCGCACCCCTGCCGCCGGGCTCCGCGCGGGGCATTCTGGGCAATGCAGTCCCCCGCTGCCAACGCTCATCCGGTGCCCTGACCCGGAAGCTGCCCCTTCCCGGCCGCTAGCACGTGGAGCCATGGCGGCCCCGCGCGCGGAGGAGCTGCTGGCGGGCGCGGAGCCCGTGGCTCTGCCGACGCGGAGCGTGGTGGTGCACAAGGAGCTGGAGCTGGACTTCGACCTGGGCAACCTGCTGGCGCGGGACGCCAACCCGCCACCCCGCGCCGCCGCCGCCCAGCGGGAGACCGCGCTGCGGGCGCTGGCCCGGGACAACGCGCAGCTGCTGGCGGCCGAGCT